TGGTGAACGGATGGTGGAAAGACAACATGCCAAATGGATCCCTCCCCCCAACAATCAATTATATCACCATGTGCTGGACACCTACAATACCAGAAACTGAGCGATGGCACGCAGAACTCGAAACTAGAGATGGATTTTGGGCACCACGCTTTGAGTCAGAGTTCGAAAGTAGCGATGAGGAGAATCAAGCTATGGAGCAGGCTCTCGACAACCTTATCTAGTCACCAATCACCATCCGAATACCATAACGATGTCAAACTATGTGGAGCTCAATGTGAGGCAGCGACAACAGGTTGTTGGACTGTTGTTGAACCGCGATGCTATCCAACTTGAAGACTACTTCGAAATCCTCTGGATTGACTATTGTCCTGATTGTGATCATGCTTGGGTTGACGTACAGCACGAATCTGGTATTCGTGACTACTGTGATTTAGATTTCTTCGAGTCTAAGTGTTTCCTTAGAGTTTCCTCTTGTCCTTGGTGTGATACCTATGATGAAGAGTTTTTGGCGGAAACTGAAGCCATGAGTTTCTCGGAATCCGCCTTTGATGATTATTAGGTTTTGTTTGTTTAAACAGTTGTTTTGTTTTGGGGAATGTAACCGGTACGGGTACTTGGTTATTTGTTATATGTTTTGTTTTAAGTATCGCTTTGATACTTGGTTTGTTTTAAGTATCGTTTGATACTTGGTTATTTGTTTTATGTTTTGTTTTAAGTATCGCTTTGATACTTGGTTTGTTTTAAGTATCATTTGATACTTGGTTTTGTTTTATGTTTTGTTTTAAGTATCGCTTTGATACTTAAAGAGTTTTCCAAAGAGTATCAATTGATACCCTTGATTAGTTTCGTTCATGCTAGACATGAACAGATTTGTGTATTTAAAGACCGCCTGTTTCTACGATAGAAAAGGCAGACTTCGACAGACAGTATTTCAATATACTTGGTTGAACGGTTACTTCTTTGTTCCTCAGTACGCCCTCGAAGCCTCCTTTAGTTCTCAGCTCTCGCCTCCTCTCTGGAAGAGCAGGCCACCTGCCAACTATCGTATCTATCATCGATAACGTGATTAGCACCTTGCGAACACGTTACATTTAATTAGTTCCGTTTATACTAGACATAATAGAAAAGGGAGACTTCGACAGATAGTATTTCAATATACTTGGTTGAATGGTTACTTCTTTGTTTCTCAGTACACCTTCGAAATCTCCTTTAGTTCTCAGCTCTCACCTCCTCTCTGGTAGAGCAGGCCACCTGCCAACTATCGTAACATTTACCGATAACGTGACTAGCACCTTGCAAATACATTACAATAAAAGTCACATTTATGCCATAAAAATTGCCTGCCAAACAGGACCCTAGCTAGAATAAATTTATAGTAGTAAGACTAACCTTACCTGACTTCTACAGACTTATAGGTACATCCTAAGTACAAGTACTCAAGTAGGAGCTTGGTCTCTTATCATTTTTGCCCTCAGGTTTGTTCTTATAGTTGTAGTCTTAAGTAACCGGTATCATAATTGGCACGTGTGCCTGGTCTGATCTCACTAATTTTACTGTTTCAGAGTGCCAAGGGATAACCCAGTAGCTGCCAAGAGAGAGCAAACACTACCAATATGAGTAAGTTATTAAGCGGCTCAGCCATTCTCACAACATCAGAGCACCATAGAAGGTTTTCAACAACAAGATTTACGGTAGCGATTTGGACAATGTTGACTTAACTTAAATGGCAGGGTAAAGATGTAAAGATCGAATTTTGATATCCTAACTGGAGAAATATTCTCATGAAAAAAACGATAGGGAATAAAAATAGGAAAGACTGATATGACCTAAATACATGTAATAGAGGAAAGAAAGACAGATTGGATAGATGAATGAAAACAACTAACAAAGGGAAAACAAGCTGCATTTTATCCTTCTCTAGATCATGCCGATCCACTGCTACATACTTCCAGCATAAGCCATGTTCTCCATCATATTCAATTTCTGTATTGCCCATTGTGCTACTTCAGCTATTAGGAGTACTGGGATCTAATACCGAGGAACCACCCTAAGTAGGGTAACTCCACTCAGAAATGGAATTTCTAGTCTCTAACACCTCCCTCTGGCCCCCTTATGGGGCTCACATATCATTATATATATTTATCTCAGTTGCGTCCTGTGACTATAATACCACAGAGTTGAAGGTATAAGAATAACACTGTATATGTCACTGCTGTCCATCAGACCGGATCCTGCTTATAGGATATATGAGAGGTGACCTTTGGCTAGGTCTAAAAAGTAGAACAGAGTAAATCTGTCAACTATGCTGAGAGTTACTAGGCTTCAAAGATGTGATATCTTTGTCACGAGCCATAGATAACAGGACATTTTCACATAAAAATATGATATCAAATGTTAAAAGATCTCTATGAGAGCCCAATATATTTGCACCTATCCTATGATAATTAGGAAAGTCTAGAATCCTGAGAAAATACTACCCAGAAGCCAATGGACTTCGCAGAGTGTTATAACTGTGTCCGGGAATGCGTCATAGTAGCGGGAAGATTTCTTAACACTCAGACAATCAATAGATATCCTGTTACCCAGAGCAACCAAGGGTTGCCAACTAAGGGATTATCTACCAGTGTGGTGGAGTGGCCTTCTGCGGTTAAGCTGGAAGCTATTCGGAAGAAATCTGTTAGTTGGATCTGGAGTTGTAGAGGTTTAAAGTCAGGCAACCTTAGAAGATTAAAATTGCGACTACCTCTACAGATACAACCCGCAGATGAAACTGATCATTTCATTGATAAGAGAGATCATTGGGGCTAATGCAGTTTAACTTGAAAACTAGGCCAGTAGTCTAAAGACTCTAAAGATTGGATAATTACTATTAGAAATAGTATGGTTCTAAGTTAATAATATCATAATTACCAAAGAGGGTGTGGTGGTTTTCAGGGTCTCCAGGTATTCGTACCTTGGGAGAATACCCAACATTGTGAGCTATAACTAGAGAGGTACATAGTTTGTATAATAGATAGATGTAGTCCACAAACACTCAGATACGGAATATAAATATCAAAGTACCTTCTGAGCTTTTGGACATCATCGAGCAACGGAGGAGAGACCTTAACAATATAATATTATTTTTATGATTCTATTCTACTTTACATATTTTACCCAACTCTTAGCAGTCATAAATGAAACAAGTATAGTTTGAGCCTTCCTAGACAATCTCTATTTACAGAAATGAATCTTGGTTGGCCTAGACAATTCTGCCTCTATATAGATTGTCTCCGCCTAACATCAGCCAAGGATAAGTGAATTCGACTGAGGATATGTTCTGACCAAGGACATTCAGTATTTCCATATAATAGGGGTAACACCCTAATGTGGAGTCGTCGCAGGTATCATCGCAGATGTTGTCGCATATGGTATTTGATGTGTAGGACTAACCAGTAGTCAAACATAGAGGTGTTGTAGTAGTTGATATGCCAAGAGGGTTAGGGTTGTGAAGTCGTTCCCATAGGGGAAATGTGTGGTGAGCAGCCAAGAAACACTCCCATCCAACAGAAGGTACAGTTGTGTCCGGAAAGTTTTTGTACCCCTGAGGTACAACCCCACAACACCTTATCACCACAACAACCCTCCTCACCATGGCCCCTCCACATAACCTAAAAGCAAGAGAAGACCTGAATAAGGAAATTTATACCCTGTATAAACATACAGATATAGGATATGACAAAATTTCTAAGTCTTTAGGTGTATCCAAGTCAACTGTTCAGTCTGTGGTCAAAAGAGCTAAATCTAGGGGTGGAAATACTCACCATGCAAAAAGAGGTGGAAGACCAACCAAGCTTACAGACATAAAAAGAAAGATAGTGGAGTCAGTTATCAATGCCGAGCCTCATTTAGTGTTATGCAACATTACCAAAAAAGCGAATATTGGTCTTGGTAAAACTACTATTGATAAGATCATATCAGAAGCTGGTTTTCAGCTTCTGATACCTAGGAAAAAGTTTTTTTGGAGAAAAGGACAAAAGGAGAAAAGAAGGGAGTTTGCTAGGAGAAGGAGGAACTGGAAAGGGGCATGGAATTGGGTTGTTTTTGTGGATGAAGCTACCATTGTTTATGATCCAAATCCAACAGGCAGAAAGGTCAGAGTTAGACCTAGTGAAGAGCTGGAAGAAAAAAACTTAAAGCCTAGCTTTAAGTCTGGAAGGACTAGCATTGGAGTATATGCTGCAATGATGAAGGGAGGAAAGACTGAGTTAATTCTTGTGAGAAAGAAAAGGGAGGAGGAAAGAACCAGTAAAAGAGACAGACTTGGCCTCAACTCTCACCAATATGCAACTGAGATCCACCAGCCTTACCTTATCCCTTTTATAGAGAGTTTGGATAGACCTTCTGACAATATCTACCTTGCTGCAGACAATACTTCCTGGCATGGTGGTGAGGAAAATCGAAAATTGGAAGCAGACTGTGGTTACAAAAAACTCCCTTGGCCACCCAACTCACCAGATCTCAATCCTATTGAGAACACATAGACACTACTCAAAAGAGCCCTTACCAAGCGATTCTCCAGACTGGAAAGAAGGCCTCATAGTGCAGCTGAATTGTTTGAGGCAGCAAAGGAAGAGTGGAATTTAATTCCCCAAGAGAAGTTGGATGGATGGATAGATAGGATACCTGAGAGAATGCAAGCTGTACTGGATGCAAATGGAGGCCATACAAAATGGTAATAATGTTGTTTTATTGTCTACTAGCAATACTATCATGTTTTCTTTAATTGAATTCTTTACATTTTTTTTGAAATTTTTATGGTTGGGGGTTGTGGTTGTGCGGTTGCCATGCGAGGGTACGAAAACTTTCCGGACACGACTGTACTCGTGTACCGGCACTCGGGTATGATACCACTTTCTTGTCCCTCAATCTTCGTCGCACAGGGGATTCTGTAAATTACTCGAATGGTATAATAAGAAGCCCGCCCGTCTTTTTTCTTTTTTTTTAACCCCTTTCCTTTCCTCCATCGTAGCGGCTCTGCAAAGGGCCACGTGGTGTCAATCAGCAATTCTCTCATCACTCTGACAACAGAACACACTTTATCCAATATCCATGTCACCGCCACCAAAATACACAGACGTTGTCTGCATTGGCACCGGTCTCTCAGGGATTGCACTCGGCGCACGCCTAAAGACCCACTACCCGCACGCGAGCGCGCACTTCTACGACCGGAATACAAACCTGGGTGGGACCTGGCATGCGAATACGTACCCAGGCGCCGCGTGCGATGTCCCGAGCGTGCTCTACAGCTTTAGCTTCGCCATGAATGCTGCCTGGTCGTGCATAACACCGCCGCAGGAGGAGATCAAGGAGTATGCGCTAGGGGTCGCGAGGGAGTATGGGATTCCCGAGAGGGCGACCTTAGGGGCCGAGGTTTTGGGCTGTGAGTGGGTGGAAGGGAGGGGGGTTTGGAAAGTTAGGGTTCGGAGGAAGGGACAGGGGGAGGAGAAGGAGGAGTGGGAACATGAGTGCCGGGTGCTGTTTAGTGCTGTTGGGGGGTTGGTATATCCGAATGTTCCGGAGGTGGATGGGATGGAGGAGTTCCAGGGGAGGATTTGCCATTCGGCAGAGTGGGATCAGGCTATTGAGTTTAAAGGCAAGGACGTAGTAGTCGTTGGCAATGGCTGTAAGCCACCCCCTCCATCCACTGAGGGCTCCAACTAATTGACCCCCCCAGGCACCGCCTCACAAATCGTCCCGGCGGTTGCAGAGGTCGCTGCGTCGGTAACCCAGATCGTCAGGAGCGCGCATTGGCTAGTCAAGGCTCCTAAAATAAATTACACTCCAAGGATCCAATGGATATTCCGGAACATCCCGTTGGTAAACCGACTTCACAGATTCCTGATATTCCTTGTGATGGAGGACGCTTTCCATCTCTTCGGTGGTAGCGAGAGCTCTAAAAAGTATCGAGCGAGGCGAAGGCCTGTGTTGGAAAAATACATGCGGGAGGCATCGCCGGAAAAGTATCACGACATATTAATCCCCGATTATGAGGTCGGGTGTAAAGTCCTTCTCCCCCTAGTTCTCTCTCGCTACACCTAGCGCTAATAGTAACTAGCGAAGAGTCCTCGACGTTGACTACCTAAAATGCCTCCACAACTCACACGTAACCCTAGCCAAATCCGCCATAACGCGAATAACCCCAACCGGCATCCAAACTTCCACCGACACACACTACAAAGCACAAGTAATAATCTTCGCAACCGGCTTCAAAACTTGCTACTTCCCGTTGCGCATAATCGGCAGACAGGGTGTCAGCATGACCGATCACTTTGCCGGATTAGGTGGTCCGGGCGCGTACAAGACCACCGCTTTGCATGGGTTTCCCAACTTCTTCATGCTTCTAGGACCGAACGCCGCGACGGGACATACCTCTGCGCTCATGGCGATCGAGAATACTATTGAATATGCGTTGAAGGTGCTGCGACCAGTGTTGGGGAGGGGGGCGAGGGGGGCGGCAGTGGAGGTTAGGCGAGAGAAGGAGAGGAAGTGGGTTTCAAGCGTTCAGAAGGAGCTGGCGAGGATGGTGTGGAGCTCTGGGTGTAAGACTGTTTGTACCCTTTTACCTTATCTTGCTAGCCGAAATATTAGAAGTGAGAGCTAATGAGGGCGAAGTGGTACAACAACGAATCTGGCTGGAACGCCATGACCTATCCATGGTCCCAGACACACTTCTGGTGGCATTCGCTGTGGGTTAGGTGGGATGATTGGATTGTTACTGTATATCCCCCCTCCCCTTTAAATTTCCATTGATGACAACTAATGGTTCGGGAGTATAACGAAACACCAACCTCCTCACCCACAAAAAACCTCCTCTTGTTAATTTCTTTCGTGGTGGTCTGTGCGTGCGCCCTGTTGTTTGGGGAGTCCAGTAAGGTGTACAGTAGGATTGCTTCGGTCGTTTATGAGTCGGAGGAAGGGACGAGGGAGATGTATATTTGAAAGCAGTGAGCACTTTAGAGCCCTTTATCGGTTTGTTGCGAAATTTTTACAGCTTGGGTAGAGTTGGAGTTGGATTGGTAGCATATACAACTATTATATGAATGATACGAAATGCGTTTTATAACATATCAACATGAGTGTGTGAGTGAGTGGGAGGATATGACGCGCTCACCCTCTATGATATTTATGATACTGAATTAGCCAAACTATTTGTACCCTACCCTAGCCTAACATATCTACCCAAGACCCGACTCCACCAGGTTGTGCAAGGAGAGGCGGCGAGAGTGCCCCGCACCAACCAACCATATCGTATGATAGCACTGGGATCCCCAATAATTCATCCCGCAAGTATGATATCATACTACGGAACACCGTCCGGCGGAGCGCTCCGATCGGTGGTGAGATTGTCAGTTCCCGGGTATGATACCCAAATTGATAGCTGATCAAGAGCGCCCGGCCCAGTTCGAATCCGCCCGCACCTGCACTGCACGAGGCGCTACTTTCTATAGCAGCAGTGCTTCCGGGTGAGGGGGTGGTACATAGCATCGTTGCCATAGTAATTGAGTTTGTCAGTCGAGATGGTACACATCCTATTGCAGGGTATGACGGAGCGCTGGATGAGTAAGTACTGTACTGTGTATGCATTCGTCTGTGCTGTGAGTGGTCTAAGCACGGGACAGTTCAGTGCAGTGCGGTACTACCGGTCTGGACGGTTTATTACGCACGTATCTGGAGGAGAGTTTTTGGAAGAGGCTTGGATGGGGAGGAGTTGGGGGGGGGGGGTTATGTGCCGAAATATCGTCAGGTGCTTTTTCCGGAGAGCCCGTAGCACATCTGCTTCGATAGGGCGTTTCTGCCCACCCACCTACTTTCTTACTGCTTGCGATAGTACCTCTCTCCTTTCCCGCCAGGTAATAATTCAACGCGGGACGTGTACTGTACTGTGCTGTATGATAGCGGCGGAATACACTCAACCAGAAGAAAGCGTCACCACGACTTGCGATGGGCGCTAGGTGCTCCATTTAGTT